AAAATATTATCTGCGATGTAAATCACAGGTTATATCGTGGATGCTGTCAGATAGTCTTGACAAGCCATCTTAGCGTGCAATGCTCGTAAAAGGGTGCGATACACCTACGCTTTCGATGCTTGCGTGAACTGCACACCAGAGATAAGAAATTAAACGGAATTCTTATAAACGGGCAGTAAGTGCTAGTTATGTCCTTAATGTCGCCGTCAACGCCACAAGAGGAAGAAAACGTTCGTATTTTCTTGAATACCGGTTACGAGGTCCATGAAGCCTACACGTGGCCCTGAATGCCACGGCCGTGACAGAATGCGTGCAATGCCCTTTCCGACATGATATCAATTCATCAGTAACAGTGTCTTCTTATCTGGCGGTAGATTCGATTAATTAATTACGAAATCCGCCGATTATTGTTCACGCGCTCAAACTACTATGCAAATTTACTTTGATAATAAAGCGAATAGGTATGAACAGCTTAGACATCATTGTAATATTTCATCGTAAACATTTTTTCACATGGTAGCTCCTATAATTAGTAGCGTTGTTCGCGAGATGCGCCGATCTCCCGCTGGACAAAAGTATATAATAAAATCGAGTAAAACGATTGGTGTTTAAGCAAAATCGTTTTGTCGCATAGCGAATATCTGAAGAACTAGTATTAAAAGTCTTGATAGTCAAACTGTGAAATTAAGTGATAATGTATCCTTTATAAGAAGAATATTTTCTTTACAAATATTCTAAATCAAAAAATATTCTAAAACTGATTAAAAAATTTAACAGACTTCTTATTATAAAAGGTAAAAACTGTAAATGATAGTATAAAAATATACATAGGGTCATGTAAGAGCCCGTAACAAATCCTATCATGCCAGTCAAGAATGGCAACTCGTAATATTGCCGGTGATTGTTGAAGAAATCTCGCCACAAGAATGTACCGCGACATTGAATGCCAGTCACCGACACTAGGCAATCGTTTTGCCGCGGAATGGAAAGAAACGATAAATAATATTGAGGCAAAATACAACATTTGAGACGGCCCATCGGCCGTTACGCATAAATGTGGATGAAAGTTTTTGCAGGGATCTTTTTACTCAAACTGAAGAACACACCTTTATATCGAGTAATCCCAAAACGAATATTCGAAATACTTTGCTAAGTCACGGCAGAACAGCGTGAGCGAGACGTATCACGAGATTGTCTATGTTTTTTTCTCCATGTTGTTAGAATAAAACAAGGAATGAAACGATCAGATGAACATGTTTACAAAAAAAGTTTGACAAAAATAAAATCGTGTTGCCATGGAAAATGATAAATGAATAGTTACTTTTTCTGCAATCGTATTTCACTGGCAAATGATACTTTATTTTTCAGGAAAGAAAACATTCCTTTTACGCCGAAAACACTCCCTCATGTATCGACCCTTTTATTAGTTACAAAATTAGGTATGATATATTCAATTTCGTCGTAGCAATCTTATCAAATTAGTTACAAAAATATTGCTACATTAATGTATCGAAAAGCTTCTTCTAAAAATATGTTGCTGTCCTCAACCCGATTACAATATATATTTTTCTCAGTCTAATTCAAAGTCACTTCTTATCGTTATACTGTGCATACTTTTCACTATGTTGAATTGTATTATCTGTTATTGCCGAAATCTTGTTATAAAATTTATTTAACGAAATAAATAATGTGTCATTCTATGATAATTTGTCATATACATATAATCATTACGTTATTACAAGGTAAGGTCGCCTAGTATGGGATAGGCTCCTAATATGAGATAACGGAGTTTTCTGCTAAATTAATAAGTACATATAAATAAACTAAATTAATAAGCACTTGGTTCTATTATGAACTTTTTATTCTTAGTGTGAAATCTGTTCAGTAGAAAATTTATTGTTAGATCATGCGTGGTAGTCGTTGCAAAACAGATTTGTGAAATTGAACGTTGTCAAATTTTATGGTGGTGAGAGAGAGAGAGAGAGAGAGAGAGAGAGAGAGAGAGAATAATACGGAATAGATGAAGAAAGAAATGAGTACGTAAATCGCGGTGAATTATTT